TAATAACTTTTTTTTTTTTTTAATAAAAATTAACAGCGTACTATAATTCATCTGACCAAATACAGTTTTTTACCCTACACATATGAATAAACAAGCTCTATGTTTCTCTTGGGGCAGTGAAGCTGGTTAAATGAATCAGAAAACCCTGGAAAGATTGCCTACCCTCAGTCCATCAGCTACTGGACAATTATTCAAGGCCCAGCTGTAAGAAAAACAGATGGTGAGTGAGCATTAGTAATGTGAACTTCTTTTCACTCATGCAGTCATAAGCAGAGGTTGTATGTTCTCACATGAAAATTGTCATGAAATAGCAGACTGAGGAACAAAATTGTGCAAAGACTGCAATTTGTAAGGTAACAGATGCCTTAAATTTTCATGAGTTCAAGTCAAATTTACCAATTTTACAGAAGAGACATAGTGAGTGAGTAATATAAATGGACTAGGTAAAGAATGGCAATGTTTTCATAATACATTTAAACAGTGACATCACAAAACATCTGTTATTGCATTCAGCTAACATACCTGATCCTTTGAAGACTCACTAAAGTATAAAATGCAAAAGACGCATGCACAGAAATGTAACTGTGATGGTGGCATTCAGCAACTGATGTTTGCTCTCTATAAAAATGTATCCAGAAATTGTTCACCCATTTTAGTTCTTCATACAATTTTAGCAAAGACAATTTGTTCTAATCCTTTTTCCATTATTGACACTATCTACTGCATCAATTGAAAACACCATCAAATAAAATCAACATTGAATTTAGTCATGAAGAAACAATGTGATAAAAAGTCCTTCAGACTCCTATATATCATCAGATCCAAAAGCATGACATAAGTAACTGAGTGGGGAATTCAGCTGTTTTCCATAGTCATAATGCTTAAGGCCCAAATAAAATTACATTAATTTACCATGTAAGCACTAACGGAATAGCTGGGGTAGAGATGGAGAGTTTGTTGTGTTTTGTTTTCATGGTGGATTTTTTTCATCACTGATACAAGAGCTGTATTGTGAACTACTTTCTTGTTAAAGACAGAAAAGGTTGATATTGAAGTTTCAGTTCAATTGTTTTCGATCTGTGAATGTCCACTATGAGCAATTGCTCCATTTAAAAGGAATTACCCTTTGTACAAACCACTTCACTATTTAAAATAAACCACATGTATCATCATTAAACAGAAAAAAAAAAATACCAATTTTAAAATAATGACAGTGTTACTGTACACTGGAATATTATGTTTCAAAAACACAGTTGACTTGGTGTTTTCTGTGAAGTAATGAACTAAATAACCCTATTTCCTGGTAAGCATATCACAGGGAAACACAAGTTAACAGAACTAAGCTTTCATTAATAAACTCTAAATCTCAATTTACAGGTGGTTGAAATTTGCTGCAAAAAATTACATTGCACTAGCATTTGATATAAGCTTAAGTTCAATGCAAGAATTTCTTGCGTTAGTGTGTCTAATTAAGGAGGACAAGAGAAAATAGATGAATTTAGCTGTTTCTAACACTGTATAATGTTATAAAATTATAGGGTACGCAGCACAAATTAGAGTTGCTTTTCGGTGTCTAAGTATTGACACTAGACAAAATTCTAAGCCAAACGCACCTACATTTTTCCTAACTGTCATTATCTTTAAAGTGACACAAAAGTGCCCAAATCAAACTCTTTCATCCTTCTTCTGTTCACTGCTGCCACTGATACAGTCAGTTGCATTTAATGTTTGAAAACTCTTTCTGGATTTCTAAAATTGGACTTTCTCTAAGATGCTTTTAGGTTATTTCAGACAACTTCAGACATCTAAATTAACTCAAACTTCCTTCATGTCCTGTTGGCTTTTTCAAATGAATATTTTATTGGTGGTTAATCTATAACATGAACTAGGCCTCTGTCCTTTTGTTCATTTTCAACTTTAAGTGTTTTGAGTAAGTGAATGTGTATGCACAAACTGTTCTTAAAAAAAAAATTCCAGTTCCTCATGTGGCTCTTAAAACATTTTACATGTGTAATCTGGGAGATATCTGAACAAATACTTAGTTTCTAATACTGGACAAAGTAATAGAACACTTCAGAAAATAATTTCATTCATACTGATCAAACTGACTAAGTGATGTTAGTTTAGCAAAAACAATTGCCAGTTTTAAAAAACTACCCTATGCAAACTTTTTTTTCCCCCTCCCAAATGATTAATACTACTCCCCAGAAAACAACCATCCTCATGGCTACATATTTATTGACAAGACTGGTATGCCCATCTTGAGAGGAATGTAACACCTCTTAGAGTCTTCCATGGAAGACATATCCAATTACAAAAACTTATATGTACCAAAATACTAGCTTATTTTGCAGATACACATGAAAATTAAGAAGACTTTTTCCGTAGATGCTAAACAAACCATAAGTGTTAACAACAAAGAGCTCCGTTAAAATAAAGATGTCTGAATTCACTTTAACTGAGGTGCAAGTATCTGAAGTGAATATTTTTTTCACTAAAAATCACTACTGATTAGCTTCACATAATGTCTATATACTGTTGGTGATAGGGTCTACAGGCTGAGGGGAATCACTGATTATGAAGTTGCCAAAAAAAGCTTTTAGGTTCCCAGCAGTTAAGATCAATAGACAACTTCATAGCAGCGAGAAAGACCCTTTACTGAAATAGTTATGTTAGCATGGAGGTACATTTGCTAGAAATGGTCAGATATGGAAAAAGAATATTAAAAATTAAAAAGTAGACCATCATGGTAAAAGTTTATATAAAAAACAAACAAACAAAAAAAACGAACACTTTTTATCCTTTCCTATTTAAAACCAGAACTGGTTAGATTTAGATCAAGTAACAGCTTCTGAGGAAATACTTTACCAAATACATAAAATAACATAACATAATTGATCATCTCTGAATTAAGATGATAATTATCTGACTCTCTAGGAATCCAGAATAAGTAAATGCCAATCACAGACCAAAAGATGCAACAAGCACAGAATTTTGAACCTACCACAATTATCATCAGGAATTCAGACGAGTTTTAAACATATATAATTGTGATTAGTACAGCCTGAATGTTTCAAAACTGACAATAGGATTAACCAGATAAGAAAGCTAACACTAAATATATATATATATATATACACACACACACACACTTTCAGTGTAGCAGTTAATCCACTTAAAGAGTTAAAAATTATCCTGTAGATATAGCACTTTGTAAAGTGCATTAGCAATCACTTCTCATCTTTCTCTCAAATTCAATAGATGGAATTGAATTCACTGTTTTAAAGTAATCATTACGGTTGCACAGTTTCTTAAACCTTAAAGCAGTGCCATACTATAGATGTTTGCATAATAATACTGCAATAGCTCACCCAGGAAGATTATTACAGCACCTAACCTCATCTTTATATTATCTTTTATCGGCTCGTTTTGTGGCCACATTGACCTCTCTCACCTTGGTTCACATTTTCCCTTTCAAAAGCTGGATCTACAGCGTTCAAATTGTTGTTTGGCAAACTCAGAGGAACAATTCCACCAAAATACAGGAGTACATTTTGTATACAACCAGTGAGCATACAAGTCACACTGGATCATTAAAGTTAATCTACAAATGTCATTTTGAAAATGTACCCAGAATGCAGAACTACTAAGAACAGATATTTCAATTATGGCATACACTTTATTCAAATATTAAATACATACTTAACTGCTGTAAATTTTAATTGCAGACATATCCCGCCTGCATACATGTATAATCTAGGGCTTATACAAGAATCTTTCATTATACACTCCATGCTCCAAATCAGAAATGGTTTATACTACACTACTGAAGAAAAAGCTACAGAAGGGTTTATATCCTCCAAATACTTGAGTTCTGTTCTTTCATCAGTAACACAAAGCAAATTTTGTGGGAAAAAAAAAAAAAAAGCTTTAAATCTATTTAATTTTTATGAACAAGATATAGCAAAGAAATGCTGTAAAAAATCTTTCAGGCATTTTTAAATACAGAAATAAAGTTAGAGACTGTTTCATGGAAGTCAATATGCATTTAAACTATTGCAATGGAAGTTGGATGAACTAACAGGCAAATGTTCCTATTTGTTATAATGAGCAAAAGAATTTCTTTTCCCGAAGTTCCACCAGAAAGTAACAGAATAAACAAGATTAATCATTGTTGCTTGAGAACATATTTCCATCTTGACTATGCACACCTACTAGATGACTGTAACAGAGGCTCCATTAAAAACAGAGAACTAACATACAATGATGATTTTAAATAATAACATTATTATAACATTAAATAAGTGGGTAAGAGAGTTATTACTAACTGGTAAGTAATTTGGGGAGGGGTGGTGGTAGAAATACTTCAAAAATAGAAGCAAATTTATATATAAATGAATGCTCTAAAATGGGATTTAATCTTTTATAAAATGGTATCGTTTTGCTTATTTCAAAACATTTTTAAACCCATTCCAATATACTTCAGTGACAGAAGTATTTTAATTCTGCACAGATATAGCTTTATAATTTTTTAATGACTAAAATCAGCTTGATTTTAATCAGCAGCATGTTTCAACACAGACTTAAAATTTCTGGCTTCAAAGAAGGCTTAAACAAAATTGCCATTGGGCACATTTACATTAGAAGTATAATTTATGCTTGCAAGTGAAAAAAGAGCAGTCCTTTATGGCTGAAACTCTGCTACTGTATCCATGAGAAATGCAGTTAAAGTACTCTGTCAAATATCTATAAACAGCATCAATAAAGACATTGCAAAAAGAAAAGGGAAAAAAAAAAAGACATGCAAAGCTTGAATCTCTATTAAAACATATTTTCTGCTCACTCTCACTATTCCTAGGTGCAAGCACAACATTCACTCCACACAGTGGGAGACATTTACACAGTCAATTCACACACAAAAATATCCTCACAATTACAAATCCCCCAAATGATGCTGATAAAGCAGGCACTACAGGAAAAGCAAAGTTGAGCAAACTTACCTGCTGTAAGTACATAAAAGTCAAGGCACAGGAGAGCTGGGGACACATGCCCACATTCGGTAGTGCCACGCAGGTTGCACCCGTAAGGGGATGCTGCATGGTGTTGCTCTGAAGTCTACGTAGAACAAGTGAGGGGGCTTGCATGCAAGCACGTTTGCCCTATCTTGTCACTACAGTTTTTTCCGTCTGATTATTTAAGAAACGGTATTTCTTCAATGCCTTCCCCCCCCCCCCCCCCCCCCCAGCGCTAGATCCTTACATTCATTTGTCAGCTAAGGCAACTTGGTAGATCTAAACTCTGAATTTTTAAGAGAGAGGAAAAAAAAAAGACACAGCCTGCAGCCTATTGATGAGCAAATGGAACTTCCTCAATGACAGAGAGCTGAAGCTTGTCTCACAACAGTAGCTGCTGACTAGTAGAGAGAGAGATTGACTCAGTGAGGCTCAGTCGGCTGGTGCTGATGCTGCACAGCTTCTCATTTGTCAAATGGGTCCTAGGGCAGGGTCTTTACCACTCACCAAAATTCAAATACTGCATTTTAAAAATCCCTGGAGAGGATCAGGAAGGAGAGAAAGTGAGCTCGCTGCATCACAGGCATCCATGAGATCTGGGCAATTAATGTCATTGCCCAGCTGGGACCGAATGCCTGTTATGATTCTACACACACACATACACACACTTTTTTTCCTCCTAGGACCCACACCTGACATAAAAGGGGCTTTCCCCTTCCAAGAAGGGAAGTATGAAGCACAGAACGGGAAAGGGGAAGAATCTTGGCTAGTCAAGAGGATTCCAGTAAATATACAGCACAATCACTAGATGAGCTTATTTTTAAATACAAATTAATTTTATAGCCACATGTCCTTTACCATCTACTTTCCCAGAGAAACACATAAAAGCATTACAGAGACGCTGAACTATCAGTACAACCACTGCAGCAGAAACACTGGGAATGAAACAAAATGCTGTGGCACGCTGTCTTTTACTGAGGGGGAGGGGAGGGCAGCAGGCGTGGATAAAGACTGTATCTTAAATTGGACTAAAACCCATCTCATCTAAAATTACAAATTTATTTGACAGCCAGTCAATCTATTATAAAGGACTGCCCGATCGGGTTACATAGGAAAATTACATTTGTAACTTTCAGCATTTAATGTTTACTTTTTAATTTGAGAGTGATACCTCAAATTAGTATTCTACTCTTGCAGGATTTTCCCTCCCCCCCCCTTTTATTTTATGGAGTAATAATTATTCATTAGTAGATCTAGTTAGTCTTTATGTAATAAAGTAGGATGTGACCTGCAAATCAAATAATTTATATTACAACTTGTCCTTGAAGTCCATATTACAAGTCTTTTTTTTCCCCTCCTGGATACAATTCAAGTATAGCAGAAAATACTACTATTTTTAATTAGAATTTAACAAATGAATGGAGTATTATTTCTTTGGGAAAGATGGTCAATCCTCAAAGTAACACCTAAGGTTTTAAAGGGGTTTGTTTAAAAAAAACACATGCAGAAGATTTTAAAACTACCTATGTTATAGAATATCTAACTCCCACAAAGCACATTTTATACTAAGAGTTAACATTAACAACAATAAATAACCCACATAAAATAGAAACCTTTTTCAGAAACAGTAACTGGTTGAATTTTGATAACTACCCTTAGAAATAAAGAAAAACTCCCGCTTAACTGGAAACAGATACAAAATATGTCACTGTAACTCAGGCGCTGTATTAAAAAAATACTTTTTCATTTTACATGTGCGCACACATACCTGCACCCACACAAGCTTCAGAGACTGATTTAGATCCACTAAGTCCTCTTCATGCAAAATCAAAAAATTTCCAGTAGAATTATTTTCTTTTTCTTTCTCAAAAGCAGTCAGTGCAACAAAAATAAGGTGTTCAAAACACTTAGCAATCACTACCAAAACAAGAAATGCACAAACTTAGAATACAGGGTTTGCTTTTGGCTTAGGAAACATCCATGCTTTTGCAGTTTATCATGAACTGATCTACTAGAACAGCCCAGATATAGAACAGCACAAATTACTTTATCACCAAAAAAAAAAAAAAAGCACACCACAGAGCAAGACAAAGCAAGAAGGAGAAATGAACTCTCTCTATGCCCTTTCTCCTTTTTTCATTCTTACTCTCTGCCTTAAGCAGTCTCCTGTTCTGACAGGAGTATGTCATGCTTTTCTTCATTTTTTTTTTTTTTCCTCCTAGCACAGAAAGCCTGTTATTCTGCAAATGCCCTAAACTGATAGAGTTTTCCCTTCAGCTCATTTTCATATGAAACACCATAAATAATACATGGTAATTTAATAATACCTTATCAGAATGTTTAATGAAAAACAAATATGTTATGTAAGGAGGCAGATAACCAACTCATTCTACATTATGTCAAAATCAAAAGCAACATGCTTCTCAGCCAAATGGTTTGGAACTGTATAAGCTGATCCAATTTCCCAAAGTGAAGTTCTGGAACATGGTGATGGGTCAAGCAGTTTCTTCTATTGCACTGCTTCACAGATAAGAGGACATCCATAAACAAGATTAAACTCTTAAAAGCACCACATTGAACAATTCTTTCAAGGCAATTTAGTACTGTGAATGTAGCTAATATTAATTTTAAGATTAAATTACTCATTGGACTTTTATTCTTAATTTTCATGTTTGAAAACAAGAAAAATATGAGCCACAAGTATTATGAATAGTTTGTATTTCTCTATTCATATTAGTCAATGTTTTAACTATAAAGTATCCAAATTGCCTATACACACGCATTTACATAGAGAACTGCTAAACATAGGTACTGTAAGAAATCTAAAAGAGATAATTCTTTAGCTTGATATGATGTCCTACTGTAGTGGATACAGTGGATCCTTAACAACTTTTACCCCTTCAAGGATAACTTTCCATTTTGTCTAAGAGGATAAAAGTTTAAAAAGTGCCTCATTTAAAAAAAAAAAAAATATATATATATATATATATATAAATAAAGCATATATCACTTCTTTAAAGCCATTTCTTTTACTTTACACACTCCTCCACCAAACCCAATATAAATACATATGAAGTTATGACTGTATATATACACAGTAAGTACCACCACAAATTTGCCATAGGTACACGAATGACTGTACACAATCTGACCCTTTGGCATTATGCACAGTGCAGATACCACTACCACTGCTACATAATTTTACAGAATAGCATATGTCCCATCAGTATCTCATTAGAAAATTATTCATACTTCATTTTTACCTTATCCTACAAAAAAGCCATGCATGCAATTGCAAGAACTTCCCTACACCATGACATCTTCCATTTGCCTCAATGGCTCTCTGTTTGGATCACACTTGATTCAGTACCTGAACAATATTTTGTCCCTCACGCAGTAACTGATCAATTACCTACCAATTAACAATCACAAACCTTTCCCTTTCCCCCTTCACCCCTCCCCCCCCCCAAAAAAAAAAAAAAAAAAAAAAGAAAGAGGCTACCAATCTACAATATCCAGATCAGCTTTTGTGGAAGTTCAATTAGAAAAGTAGAGATTAAAAGTTCTTCTGCAGTGGTTACACTACACCACTGCAAGATGCAACACTTTTCCAACCTGTCTGGATTGTCAGCGTCATAGCATATGGCAGAGCAGAGCTCAGTTAGGTACCCTCTCACCCTCTCCCTACACTCAATGAGACTGCCATTTAAAAAAATAATGACAAAGTGCTGATCGATCTTAAATGCAAATAAAAACAGGATATCAGAGAACTTCTGAAACAAAGCACTAAGGACCAACAGTATTTCTAACATGCCTGCAGTACAAATAAAAGCCATTCTTTTGTTTACAGTGCATTTGTAAATAGTGCATTCCATTTAAAATCACTCAATTTGCTGTGATCTGGTAGCCAACTTCTGCTTCCCAAAAATTCCCAGATTTCACATTTACAAAATTTAAACCTCAAATTTATCTATTAGAGTTTTCACAGCAGACTGCCTAGTCTGCTAGACCTTCACTATCAAGTAAAGAGATCTGAAGGAGATCACCTGCAAGACCACACACTGTTCACATTTCAGTCTCATCTCAGGAATATTAACTAGTTTACACATACTGAATGTATATAGTATTATGAGATTGAACGTCTCCAGGCTTCGAGCACTTAAAACAATTTGAACCGCATATTGCATTATCCATGCAACGCATCTTTTTCCACTTTATAAAACGGTTGATGTGGTATAGAAGTAATCCAGGCAAGTGGTATAGAAGCTAAGAATAGTGCAGTGCTTCCTCTAAATGCTGCTTTCCTAGCATCACATGAAAAATAGCCCCCAGGACTTGACAGCAGGAAGGGAAGCATATTATGAACTTAAAAATAAAATGCTTCATTAGTATATTTTGACAAATTATTAACAATCATTAATAGACTTGTCTTCCTTATCCACACAATACACTCCTTCCTTATATATGTTATGATTATTTTTATAAACTAGGGAAATGTTGATTATTTTTTTTCCATCTACTCTTTTCAATTAATGGGTGATTCTATTATACTTCCATCGATATTATCTTGTAATCAAAATCCCTACTTCTATTTTAAGTTTTTCCTTATGATTTCTCTTCTTTACTGAGTCTTTGCATAAAGATCAAGATTTTACAGAGGCTCACGCTTACCTCAGGCAAATAAGAATCACTAATTTTGTTTCACTTAAGCACTATGCTATGCCTGCTGACTTCTCCAGTGTTTCATACCCAATGTCTACAAAGACACTGTAGCATGCTTAACCTTTTCAGCACCACTTAGTATGCATTTATTTAGCATTCAGCATTATCTGCACACATTTTTCACAACTTTAAAAAAGCCCAAGAGCCTTTAGTCATGCTAGAGTGTTCACATATGAAAGGAAAAAAAAAAAATGAAGTTACTAAATATAAAATAATCATGTTCAGCCCTTAAAGAGTTGGAGACCCTTCCAAACAGAAGATGTATGTTCCTTGACATCTCTTATTTTTCTAGCTGACAGTACTTAGCTATTCCCTAGAGTAAGGGGGAAAGAGGTGGGCAGGAGAAAGGATGAAAAGGAGACAGGCCTAAAAACATGATCCTGATTTAATTTTGTGCAAGTTTATGTCAGCGTAACTCCTCTGAATTGCGTGGATTGACACAGGACACACTTCCGTGCTGAAGCCGGGTCAGTGTTCAAGCCGGAGCCCTCTTTCTGACACC